TGGACTTGCCAGGGAATTGGCCGACCCCAAATAGTTTGTACACTTAGAGCGATGGTTAGCTTCCTTCGTCTAGGAATAATTTTCCTAATGGTAACAAAAAACAAAAATGAAATGTTAGAAAGGCTGAGAAGAAGCATTGGTTACCAATTGAACCCATTGGCCTTTTAGGAGGTCTTGATTTGTGGTGGAAAGATGAGATAACCCTTGCAGTTGACTTTTCCAACAAAAATATAATCAATACTTTTTGCACCACCAGAAATCCATCAATTGTGTGACAGACCATTTTCATCTACGTTGACCCAGATTATGTTTGAAGACAAAGGATATAGCATGGTCCTAAAGCTTTGGGGGAAATTCTATATTGCCATGGATGATTGCGGGTGACTTTAATCCTATTGGCTCCATTTGGGATAAAGCTTGAGGAAAAGGCAAGAGCTCAAAGAAGGTAGAGGAATTGTAGAATTTTATTTCAGATTGTCAAATGATGGAACTTTATTTCAAAGGCCCTTGTTTCACCTAGTCAAATAATAGACAAGGCAAAACAAATGTTCAGGAAAGAATCGACAGGGTATTGGTAAATATAGAATGGAGACAGAAATCTCGTAATGCAGAAGTGTTTCATGAGATCAGAATGGGATCCAACCATAGCTCTATTCTCATTGACTTGGGATTTGAAACGAAGAAAGTTCCATATACTTTCAAATTTCAAATAATGTGGCTAGAGAATTTTGAGTGTGAAGAGATAGTTAAAGAGATATGGTGGGATTAGAGTTGCAAGGCTCTAACATGTTCATTGCAAAACAAAAGATGAAGAATTATAGTTACAAGCTTAAAGAATGGAGTAAGTGGACTTTTGAGAACCGTAAAGAAAGCCTAGCAGTACTACAATATGAACTTGCTAAAATCCGATCCAAGGAATCAATGGAATAAAATTTGAAAAAAGAATTTGATGTGGCTTCAAAGATTGATATGATTTGGCAAAAAGAGGAACAATATTGGAT